ACTTCACTGGCATGTTCACCCTGACTGTATGCAATTGACTCCTCATGCTTTGCTTCCATCGCTTTGAGCTTGATCTTTTGCTCAACATTTATTTTATCAATATCATTTTCCAATTTATTAACCACTTTTTCTAATTCTGATTCTTTCTTTTTGACTTCACTAACAATGAGCTCAAGCTTTGATTTGTTCTCCTTTAAAAGCTGAACCTCGCTTTCAAGCTGTTTGCATTTTGTTTTTTCAGCCGACAATTCATTCTTTAATTCGTTTACCAAGTCATCCAGGGTTGAAATCTTTTGATCTCTCATCAACACCTCGTTTTTACTTGACTGCAGATCATTGGAAATCTCGTGAAAAGAAGTCTTCTTTTTATCTAGCGATTCTTTAAGTTGCTTTATTTTACTATGACTTGATTTTGAAAGCTCTTCGTTGACTTTAGACTGCTCTTCAAGTCTATCTTGTAGCATGGACACCTGGAAGATATTCATCAAACCTTATTATTTATACTGTATGTAGTATATATGCTTACTGACATAAGAACTGGTTCATATTTCATTTAAAAAATCAGTAACAAAAAAAAATTAAATGAAAAATGTACATTTTTATTGCAATCAGTAAAATGCTTAATGTAAAATGGAAAATAGCACAGTATAATGTTCATGAGCAAACAGTAGAATGGTATCAAGTGTTTATAAGCATGCAAACAGAAATGGAAAATGCAAAATAAAAATTAATACACTGTACTATGATCATTTTACATCAAGTATTTTCTATATTTTTTTACTTACGAATATTACAGTTTAGCATTTTCTCGGAAAGTGGAATCAAAGTGCTTTCAGCGGAATTTGATTGGTTGCTGAGCTCCGAATATCCTTGCACTATTCACTTCCGGACGGACATATCTCCCATTTTTATTACTATTAAATTTTCTATTTTTCTATTATACGGTTACTATTATATCATTTACTTATTTATATTATTTTATATCAAATACATTTGAGAATTTTAATGCTTATGAATATTATAATATCTTAGATTAGAATATAAATCTTTAATACTAAATGAAAACATTCTATTTTAAAGTAGATTTAACCTTGGATATCTGGATCAGGCTATAATATACAGCTCTAATTCACAGTGCGAATTAAACAAACACATGCACCCACAACCTCGTTCCCAGGGCTTTAGTGTGAGGACGAGGGGAGAGACGAGGAAGCCCTGGTCTGGACCGATCACGTGACTACCCAAAAAATGGCAGTATTTGACAGCTACTCGTCAAGGAGTGGCAAGATATTCTTTAATGAAATATGCAAGTCTTCGAAACAAATAAACAGCGCCAAAAGACTTCTCGATCGATATTATTTATGTGTAGCGAAGTTTGGAACGAATCAGCTGAAATCTCTGAAGACCCCGTCTATGTTTTCTAAGATATACTGATATTTCTGGAGATTTTCAACCACAGGCAAAGCTGCATCCAAGCTGCATCTAGGCGTCTCCATGCAAGTGGTGATTCTCAAGAAATTTGCTTTCTCCCGTCTTGAACAATATGGCTATTGCCTTTAATATTTAGTTTAAATATGCTCTTATAGATCTGACTTAGTTTGATATAAATAAACACAAATATAAAACCTCGGGTATTAAATCTGTTTACGCTGTACAGGAATATACGGATTCGCTTGTTTCGCCGGACACCAACACTTGCCGTTCAGGAGCAATGCTTGCCTACAAATTTTATCCCCTTCACAATCTATGTTTTATTTTATCGTATAGTCGCAATTTGCAAGTATTCGGGGTATTCTAAAACTGTAAAACTCGGTGGCGTGACGAATCTTGTAGGCTACAGTTAATTGTAGAGACTACATCGGCCTAGGCGTAGAGCTATTAAGTTTTAAAACAGGGCCTAAATTAATTTAGTAGTTTGATTTAATTGTTTGTCTTGCTTTTATTTGTCGATCAGTATAGAATATTGTAAATTAAAATATTACTACAATGCAATACGCGTAGTATTTCATCAGACGTCTGCACTACATCAATATAAATACTGTACAAGGAAAACTACAGCTTAAATAATAGTAGACGTTTCTTGTTTTGTCAGGAAACATCACAGCTCACGTCGACACGGCTTTTGAGTTTTGTAACCGGCCGAGGCGAAAGTAAATCATGCAGTTTGGAAAACGTTTTACTTTGAAAGATTATTTTGCAAAACATACTCATACACACAAGAATCATAAAAATACAAATGTTGAATTGTTATTGTCAACTGTCAAGTTCAGTTGTTTTTAGACAATATGGTGTTAGCCAATCATGCAGAATGCAAAATTGACCGGCCCAGGCCAGGGCTTCCTCGTCTCTCCCCTCGTCCTCACACTAAAGCCCTGGGAACGAGGTTGATGCACACATTGAACAAACAGACCCAGATCAGGTTAATTTAACTTTTGTTAACCAATTACTGTAAATTGTCACAAAATATATATTTTGGAAAAGAACTGCTAACCTGTTTCCAGATGTTTGTAGGATAGCAGGATAATTATCTTGGCATTTCTAAGGGACTCAGTCAATTCTATACAGAATTTCTATGAAAATCACCAGTGGTTTACACACAGTACACAGTACCTGCATTGTATTTTCAAATTCAATCTTTTCAATCGTTCTCATAATTTTTTCTGTTCTTGCATTTTCTTTATTCCGTGCACTTTCCCTTTCGCCATTTAACTTTACAGCAACTGAAATTGCTTTAAGAATATCTTGAGGAACATTGTTTCCTATATGAATGTATAATAAGGATATGGATATAGTACACCCGTTGATATTTACCCATATGTAGCTAGCAATAAGGGTAGATGTCAGAGGTAATAGGAACCTCTCCCAA